GGGGGGGGGGGGGGGGACATTCCATAAGAGTTTAATGAGAGGGACATATTGTATCTGAAGTTAGTGGGAGTAAATTTGCAAAGTTGAAGACAGCTTCCAGGTTATATAATGTCAATTTTTTGGGAACTAAAAGAGTGACTTCCCCACCCTACCCCACCCACCCCACTAGTTGGCTCCTTTAGCTGATTGCATATTTGAATAACAGGGTTAAAAGTCTCTCAAAAGGCGGAAACACAAAGAAGGATTCAGGCACCAGCACATTTCCCCTGAACAAGGATACTTATTCAGCTCCATCTTTGCCCATTTCTACTGAAGATGAAGATAGCAGTGATCAGCTCCAAGAATCTAAAATACCCAGTATGAGTAGAAGGGGTTTGGAGAAAGAAAGATCATACTACAATTTCTCTAATGAATCTGATAAACAACCTGCCAGTTTCTCTTCTGGTGCCAATGGGAGTGACAGGTTTGAAGGGAAGAATGCTTACTCGGGCCCACCTAGTGGTGTGGAAGAGAAAGCACAAAGGGTGTCTCCGCCTCGGAGGAGAGCTACAAGGGATGAAAAGACTGAAATACCTGAAAAGCCGGGAATTTCATCTAGAAAAGATCTTTCCAACCCTGATTTTCCCAGTAAAGGTTATAAAGATATTGGATCAAAACAGGATTCGCTTCCACAGGATGATAATATCAATGAAATACTAGAGGTTAGTGATAGTGAAATTTACTGTCTTATTACTCTTCCTGCAAAAAATGAAGCATATGTGCTCTTAAGTTGACGTGGAATTTACTTTGATGTTCTCTATTTATTTTTATTATGAAAAGGAAGAAGAAGCTTTGATTGCTGCCCATAGAAGAGAAATTGAAGACACCATGGAGATTGTCCGCGAAGTGAGTTGGTTTCTAAATGTCAATTTTTACATTTTTATTCTGCGAACTATCATCATTATAATCATCAACACTTTAATCCCAAAGCCCCAACTGTGCTGGGAGTCGTTTAATGTAGGTTGCATAATCTGTATAGTTATGCTAGAGGACCGTCATGGATGTTACCACATGAATCACTCAATCACGTAGATTAAGTGAAAACTGAGTTATTTGCATTTATGAAGAGAAGAGAGAAAATAATATGAACTTCACAATGCTTTATATTAATGGAAGCAAGCTTGATAAATTAGGACGAATAAAAAGTTGGAAGAGGTTTGATAAATTGGGACAGACGGATCATATATTTATCTACTTTATAAGGTTACCCGCTCATTAATGTACAGATAAAATGGTAATCTCGGTGTGTAATCCATATGGTAGCAAAGTATTATGCTGAATTTGTTTCATGTCCCAACCTTTTAAAGAGTAGGATGAGAACTTTTCCAAAAGGATTTGGATTCTCCCCGTTGCAGTAGTGCTCGGTTAAAATTGTTGGAGAAATAATTTCACCACATGTAACTATGAAATCGTCTCACTTTTTAGGGTGATGTCACCATTTTCAGCCACAAATTCAGGTCCTTTTCAACTTTTCTAATCGTTTATGCAACATATCGCCAGAATAAGTAGTCCTTGACTTGTTCAGCTAAAACTAGTTTTTACGAAATGATTGTTCTTTTAGAAAAAACAGATTCTGCCATTTTAGCCAAATGTAACCTACTAAATATGTCATGAGCTGAATCCATTTCAAAAGCCCCATCATTATCATCATTGTTCTTTCCAACTTGCATGAAGATCATCCTGACTTGCTTTTTTTTTTGCAAATATATCATCAGGAAATGAAACTGCTGGCTGAAGTAGATCAGCCTGGGAGTCATATTGACAATTACGTTTCCCAGTTGAATTTTGTTCTCTCCCGTAAAGCAGCAAGTCTGGTCAGCCTCCAAGCCCGGCTTGCAAGGTTCCAGCACCGGCTTAAAGAACAGGAAATTCTTAGTAGAAAGAGGCCACCCCGCTAGCAAGCTGGTTGGTTTTCTCTCTATTTTTCCTTTGTTTCTCAATTTGGTCATGTAATGTTATACAGAATGTTTGAAGATGTAATAGGGCTTGTCTGTAGTTTCATGCTTTATGTGTACCCAGAATGACCATCCATCTGAAATCATCCAGTGTACAATCAAAGGGAAATTATGCAGTCTTTGTGGAACAAGCCTCTGGGGAGAGTGTTCATATTGATCTTGAAACATCATAGGACACAACAGCTAGAGTGCCCTTCACCCAAATTTGCTAAATTCACTTCCCAGATGACAAATACTCGAGAAATATCGTATCAAATTCTTATTATTGGAAATGAACTTAGCAATTTCGGTTTGAGCTTTTGACGGAGTGAATGGAATGAAAGTACGTCTTATTGATTGATTTGCAAGACCCCCCCCCCTCGAGAAATATGTTGCATTGCGTTCAAGATCTTAGGACGTTGCATCATTGAAAATCCAGGAATATATTAAAAAAAATTGTGGGGATGGTTTTGTAAATCTGATTCATGATTTATCCAGCGGAATTAACAATGTTTGGACACAAAAAACAAGTCATTCTCACCAGAAAGAGATGGCAAGAAACTCATATAACCTATCTCCATTCATCTCAACAATGGCCTCACAATTGAAGAGCTCACCATACTGAAACAGTATCATAGAAATATTTGTGTTTTGCAGTTTTCATTTGTACGTTATTATCATTTCAATTGCTATACACAATAAAATAAATCCCATTGAATTAATCAATTTTACAATCTCTTGCACAACACTTTGACTTGCACAATTCTTACAGAATTAGTTTCTCTGTTCCACAAAAATGTTTCTTTTTTCTTCATATATGTCCCAAAAAACATCATATGGACTTGGTCCTATTATATAGCCATCACTAGAAATGAATTTTACAAAACCCACCACTAACTCGATCAAAACTGGCATACGATCTTTGAATCATTTTGGCACTCTAATCCGTCGGGGGATTAAAAAGAAAGCACACACGAAGTTTGATCATTCAGCTTTCAACCTCAAAATCTCCTTTGCAGTCCTCAACCGAAAATATGCCATGTGTTCCTACAAGAGAAATGAAGCATAGTTCAGGTATTGAAGCTCGTAAGTTAATGAAACTTACAAAACCCAAACAACAAACGGACATAAAATAAAGCATAACATATACTAGTAACAAAGAGTCCTGTTCCAAACACGTCTTTTTCCAAATAAAAAGTTACATTCTTTTGGAACAATAAAGTGTCACGTTTGATAAAATATTAAGTACTTAAAGAACTATTCATGGTAAGGTACCCATAAATGAAATGAAAGACCACAAACATAATACGGAGTATTTCATAATAGAGGACTAAATATGGAAAACCACAATTTTAAAGAACCAATTATAGAATTTGCCCAAAATATTTTTTTTTAAAAATCAGTGGATTGTTGATGTGAAAATTGCCGAGGTAAAATGATCTGGGACATATATTGGAAATGAAGAATTAATGACATGTTCAGTATACCAAGATATTGACATATATACAATGAATGTGGAATTCTGTGTTTCTCATTATTACAACACAGCCAGATGCTCTCTCCAGAAACTCAATCATATCCTTAATTGTTTGACAAGGTTTAAATATAAAATTTAGATTCTGTGTGTGTGTGCACGCACACACAGCGTCAACTATACTGAGATGACACAATGTGAGCCAATCAAAAGCAAGTTATATGGTTCTCCCTTCCCATGTACTCCCTCTATCCCAAAAAGAGACTTCTCACTTCCTTCCCGAACGTCCCAAAAAAAGATTCCTCTTTCCAGTTTTAAAAATTTTTTTGTGGCTCAATCTTTCTCTCACCTCTGAATCACTGAGAACCACACAATTTTTCTTTTCTTAAACTTTGTGCCAAACCAAAGGAGGAATCTTATTTTGGGACGGAGGGAGAATTCAAAAATCGGGTATCCAGTTTCTAAACTTGATTGCCTCCCCCCCC